TGTCATTTAGGTTAACAGATTTATCTGGTAATTTCTTTCATTAATGGTTTCACAATTGCTGGAAACATGAAGATAAGGACCAATATTTTAAAAACTATTCCAATTTATACCGCCAGAGGGCAGAGATTAGCAAAAAGAAAAAGGAACAACAACAACAACAACAAAAAACATTATCTGAGGTTGCTTTAAATATTCCGAAAATTTCTGCATTATATTCTATAATAAATGTGTTTGCTTCAGTGTCTATAATAAATATATTTCTCCAAACCTACAGATCAAACTCACGTTTCAGATAAACCAAGGTCAAACTGTAAACCTCGCTCAGCTACCTCTAATTGCCAGGGAGAAGCGCCAGGGGTGGAATAAGGAAGGGCTCCAATATCATTTCTTGCAATAAATGCTGTCTTCTACCGACGTAAAACAAGTAGCAATGGTAGGACTGATCGAGACTATGCAATTGACGGGGCTTTGCTCATTAAGCACTAGGTTGACTTTCGCTGACACCCACTAATTATCTCCTCGAGTCCTTAAACTTTTCAAAGGCTGAGGGGAAGGATGCCGAGCAGCGGCAGCTGCCTCTCAGGGCTTTAAGAGCCGCCTCTGCACCTTCAAACAAGCAGGTCCTGTCCCAACCCCAAAGCAAGCAGGACCTGGAAAAGGGAAGCGCGTCCCTTTCGCTGGAATGGCGCCGCCACTTTCCTTTACGTCGTAAACCTGGCCATTTTGAGAGATCAGAAAAACAACAAGTCGCTGCTAAAATAATGCTGAAAACCGCGGTACCCACCAGAAACGACCTCAGTCACTTACCAGCAGGCCTTGACGCCATTTTGACCCGGGAGCAAAGCGCTGCCTTCTGGGTACGTCCTAGAGGACACACCGGGCGCAGTGCGCAGGCGCCTTGTTCCTTTCCGGGGGGAAGAAGTCCGCGCAGGCGCAGTTCTGATGGACATCATTGGCACCTGCTGTGGCCCATTAAGCCGGTGATATCAATGGTATAAGCTCGGCGTTTTGCGTGCTCTTCCGAGAATTGTGACATGATGAGAAGAACACTAGGCAAGGAGTTAGGAGACCCCGGATTTAGTGCAGGTTCTGCTGCTTACCAGCTATAAGAACTTGGGTGACGTCTTTCAGGTGTACAGCCCCTCGGCATGGGCTGGGGGATTGGATCCATTAGCCCARAGGCTCTCCCTGGATGTTTTAAGTTTTTTTTATAAAAAGCGGTGTAGTATTTGCTTATAACCTACACGCATCTTCTGTGTTCTTTTTATCATCTCTTGATTAYTTTTAATACTCAGCACAATGTAAATGCTATGTAAATAGTTGTGGTACTGCGTTATTTAGGGAATGACAAGATGCAATGTTTTTCATATATTTTTGATCCGTGGTGGACTGAATCCACAAATGAGAAACCTTCGGAAATGGAGGATTGAATCCTCATTTAATTCTCAATCTATGATGTAAGTACTGTGATTATCTTCTTTTTAAGAGAAGAAGGTGAGATTCAGAAAGATTGAATAGCTTGTCCTCTTTGACACTGCTAGGAAGAACGGAGATAAAATCTGAGAATCCAGATACAAATCCAAACCTCTTTAATTTTAGAGCCATAAGAGATACACTACTGTAATCAAGTAAGGAAATAAAACTTTCTGGTCTTCAGTTTCTCCAGCTGAAGTTCTACATCAAACCATTTTTAATGACAGGTTGGGTCAAAAAAGTTAAACTATTACCAGATCTGGTGGTGGTCACTTGTAATCCCAGCGASTTTGGAGGCCAAGGGAGGAGGATTGAAAGTTTAAGGCCACCTTGGAAAACTTGGTAAGACCCTGTCTCAAAATAAAAAAGGGCTTGAAATGTAGCTAAGTGGCACAGGGCCCCTGGGTTCAATCCCCAGCATCTCAAAAACAAGTTTTAAAAATATTAAATCTAAGTGATAGTAGGATTTGCATATAATTTTAAAATAAAGAGGAGTAAATACATAGTTTTTTTTCCATTTTCAAGTTCTTAGCCTCAACATGTAAAGTCTGAGGCATAAAAATCTAGGACAGAAAACAATTGGTAGCATTAGCATGACTGATAGTTACTGGTGTGCTTCCACCATTACCAGATAATATCTTACTTTTTTTTCCCTTTCCGTTTTAAGCTGAAGTGTTATTTAATGATCTTAGTCACAAACCAATTCTAAAGTTATATTGCCTTCTTTTTCCTTCTGTCTCTGCTACCACAATTTCTTGTTATGACTTGGTTCTGTATGCAGGACTAAAAACTTACGAATGACTGATTCTAGCCTACATGAGCAAGGTTCAAGTTTGAAAGATATGAAGAAATGCAGTGCATTTGTACATTGGYACATTGTTTTACAAAGGCATAAAAATCTAGGGACAAAAAACAATTGGTAGCATTAGCATGACTGAAGGAAGAGTTATTCCATAAACTCTTCTGTATCCTTTAAGTTGCAGCAGCTGGTTACAGGGTGCAAATGGCCAGAGAAGGAAAACCTATGTCAAGGGATCAGATACCCAGGATTGCACAATTCAGCTCCTCTAGGAATTAAGCCTTGAGCCTGTATGTTTCCAGGTAGGTTGTTATTGCTAATTCAAAAAGTATTTTAGGTTTCTTCCCTATTCATATAGGGTAGGGATTACACTTCTTTGTCTTTTTAAAAGTTAGGCATTGGGCTAAGGAACTGAACAGACACTTCACAGAAGATAAACAATTGATCAACAAATATATGAAAAAATGTCCAACATCACTAGCAATTAGAGGAATGTAAATCAAAACTAAGATTTCATTCCACTGCTGTCAGAATGTCAGTTATCAAGAATAAAAGCAACAACAAATGTTGGCAAGGACGTAGGGGAAAATGTACATTCATATACTGCTGGTGGGACTGCACATTGGTGCAACCATTATGAAAAGCAGTATGGAGATTCCTTAGAAAACTTGGAATGGAACCACCATTGGACCCAGCTATCCCACTCCTGTTTATATCCAAAGGACTTAAAATCAGCAAATTACAGTGATGTGGCCACATCAATGTTTATAGTAGCTCAATTCAAAATAGCCAAACTATGGAACCAACAGATGCCCTTCAACAGATGAATGGATAAAGCAATGTGGAATATTACTCAGCCTTAAAGAAGAATAAAATTATGGCATTTGCCAGTAAATGGATGAACCTGGAGAATATCATGCTAAGTGAAATAAGCCARTCCTCCAAAACCAAAGGCCAAATGTTTTCTCTGATATGTGGGTGCTACTTCACAATAAGGGAAGAGGGCTAGGGAAAACTGGAGGTACTTTGCATTAGGCAGAGGGGAGTGAAGGGAAGGGAGGAGTATGAAGCATTGTAGAATGAACTGGACATAAAATCACTCTATGTACATATATGATTACATGACTGGTGTGAGTCTACATCATGTACAGCCAGAAGACATTCAGGATACATTGACCTGTATAACCAAAATAACATGGAACACAGCCCTTGTGGTCCCAAGAGTGTGTATGAGAAGAAATGTGTATGATTTTTAAATCACTCGGGATTTTAGGAGCATTTGTTACTGTAGCATAGCTAACCTAATCTGATATTGTTTAAAATGGCAAAATGAAGTTCTGTGGTGCAGGAAGACCAGGCAAGATAGTTCCATGTTGTTTCCCAGCAGTACGTTCTTCATTRTTTTCCTGTTTATTGACTTCATCTGTTGGAGAATGCTCTGAAAGCACACATCTGTGTCACCTTTGCCACTGTGTTTTAGGACCTCAAATGTTTGTTGAGTGAATGAACAAAGTATCTTTACCTGATTCTGAACAATTACAAATTAGGTTTCTCAAGTTTCTTTCAAGACATCAGGCACACTACAAAATGCTTGTGCACATAACCCCCAAAGTTGGTGACTTTAAATCAATTTCTTCMAATTTTGAATCCAGCTACATAGTTCTACTCAGAGATAGCTGCCTCACACATCTGGCATTTGGTTGGCATGTGTGGACCAAAGGGTTTGGCCAGGTATCTCTTTTTTCTTTCCAACTCGCTTCTCCAGTAGAATGACTAGACCTCTTTAAATAATAGCACAGGGTTCCAAGCATACCCCAATATCCAAATGTTTATCAAGAATCTAGTTGAGACCTGGGGTTGTGGCTCAGTGGTAGAGTGCTTGCCTAGCACATGTGAGGCCCAGGGTTTGATCCTCAGCAACACATAAAAATAAATAAAAGGTTAAAAAAAAAAAAAAGAATCTACTTGATAATGTCCCATATGCCCCATGGGCCAAATCTCATTGGCTGTTAAGAGAAGGAATTTCTCAAGAGTGAAAATAACAAGTACGGTTCATTGAGTACATCGATGTTAAAGTCTACCCAATCTGGTGATCCTAAGGCAKATAGTCATGGTGCCTTATTTTACAAATATAGAAGCAAAGACTCAGTGATAAAATCACTTGCCCAGGATAATACATATGGTGAGGGTATTCATGTTATAGATCTGCTTGCTGGTAGTAAGTTAGTTTATTATGGCTGTTACTGTCTTACTGCCTTTCCTCCTCTTCAAACTTTCCTCCTTGTCCCTTTCCCTTTGCTGAATTTTAGTAGCCAATTACAGGCAATTTTGAATATCTGTGTTCAGCAAGACAACATTGTAGATAATCCAAAGTAGAATATGTTTGGAGCATTGAGTAGTAGTTATTAGATGGGTGGTGTATTATGCTCTAGAAACTCATAACATTTCAAAGGAAATAAAGCCACCTAAAGAAATGAAACCACTTGAAAAGATTTGTGAATGTTAGAGCAGGAAAACCTTCCACTGTTGCCATATTCATCAGAATGGCAAARTACCAGCATATAGTACTCTCAATTCACTTCTTTTCTCTAAGCTTGTTAATTTTAGTTGAGGACATGGTTGAGCAAAATAAGAATTAAGTAGTAACTTGTAAGAAAGTTCTACCAGAGTATATGTACCCAAATATATAATATCAAAAAAATTGTTTCTAATATAAATTGAGACCTAAGGCATTTATTTTAAAATATATTTTACTCATACATATATTCATTTTACAACATTACATGTTAATATTTATCAAAAACTAAAGAGTTTTTAAGAATTTTTCAAAGTCCTGTAGAGAGGCTTTGGCAATCTCTTTACAAAATATTTCATCAGGAATAGATACTAATTTGTCCAAAGAGATGTAATTAGGTTTTGCTGGATCATACTGTGCTCTTCCCAAATAGGTAAGAAATAGGTGTCTTTCTTTGATTTTAAACAACCTTGTGTTAAATACCTGGAAAAAGAAAAATGTTTTAAAAACATTATACAATAAAAGTTGAAATTTCAAGTTTACTTRGCCAGATATTTTAATAGGTTAACAAATATACTGACCACATATTCAGTAAATATGACTAATGCAACAAGACTTAAATTCTGTAGTTTCTGCTAAGAAATTATGACTAAATAGACTAGAGGTATAGCTCAGAGTACATGTTTAGCAGATGAGAGGCTTGGGTTTGATCCCAAGCACCCCAATAAAATCATTAGATAAGGAATTATAATTAGAGGCTGGGGYTGKGGCTCAGTGGCAGAGCACTTGTCTCACACATGTGAGGCACTGGGTTTGATCCTMAGCACCACATAAAAAAATAAATATGCAAAATAAAGATATTGTATCCATGTGTAACTAAAAAATATTTTTAAAAGAAGAAATTATAATTAAAACAGGACTCAAAGCTAATAAGCAGAATAATAAATTAAGGGCTACACAGTGGGCAAAGAACATAGACTACTCCAGAGACAATCTATTAGAAGAGCAAACCCTCAGGCCTCATCCCCAAACTACATATTCCCAAACTACCTCATCAGAAACCTTGAGATCAGGGCTTAGAAATGTTTTATTAAGGCTTCAAGATAATTCCAATAAGTGATCAAGAGTTATGTTAGCAAAAAAAATAAAATAAAATAAAAAAGTAAGATCTCCTAATCTGCAAAGCTTCCCTATTTTTTAAATTACTGCAATCAAAATGAAATTCATCTGATCTGATCAACTAGGGAAAGTATGTCTCCCTACCACAGGTTAAAACTCCCAATGAGTAGGGAGTGTGGAACCCACTTTAAAAAGCAATAAGAAGCAGGCCAGGTCCCTACAGACCACTGCAAGAGAGGAAGGTGAAATGGGAGGTCTGGCCACACCAGTGCAAGAGCCAYACAGGTCAAGACATCTGGGAGACTTCTGGAAAGGCCCAGATGACCTATCACTGTGAGTTCTGGAGCTCTCCTCTTGCTTGTACCAGACACAGTGAGAATACTCGGCATGGCACATAACCTCGAGGCCTCTTTCCCAATGTTCAACTGGAAACAAAATAATAATAGTTGACTTGGATAGGACACTGTGCAAAACTGTTGAAACCYTGCTTTGAGAACAGTGACCAAAAATAGCACAGGGTGCTAACTCAGCATGGGGCTGGTATGCTTTTGGAACAATACATGTCCTTTTTTCTGTCTATGCAAAAACAAATGACATCCTGTTCTGCCCTCATTTTTGGTAACTTAATTTCCTATTACTACATTATTTTGCTAATGATGATGTGAGATACTTTAGTTTTAGTTTTTCCCAAGTATGGCTCCTAGGCAGTAACTCTTGGCTTTAAAAATTATCATACAAGAGACAACACCACAAATGATTCTGAATCAATAATAGTCTGAACTATTTATATAGCTCATGATCAGCTATTGTTTACTTTTCCAATAACTCAAGGTTTCTTTATCACTAAATTTGAGGATGGAGGGTTGTTGACCACCAAGGACTACTTTGCCATTGTCACAAAAATTTTATGGTATATATGCCAACCAATTTCATCTTGTTAATGATGTATTAGTCTTAGGGATTAAAAAAAAAAAAAAAAAAAAAGGTCCTCTAGCCTGAGAATTACTGAAACCCAGTTGGGAGGGGATAGGCAGGTTTAAGGGGATCCTGAATATATAACCTCCTTCCTTCTTCCTTAGTGATTTAATGTTCATGACTCTGAAGCTGCTTTTGTTATGCTTTACCTTCTGTGACCTCTTCTTTAAGATGACTTAATTAACCAGTTATGAAGTTATAATCCTTTTTCCATTTTAATTAATCATAAGGTATATATGCCAACCACAACCATTATTGTATGAAATTAGTTTCAAACCACTAAATTTTAAAACATTTGCCAAAATCTTAACAGTTTTACCAGGTCCCTCATAGCCTCTCAGTTAATATACTTCCCCATTTGACTTTTTGACTTTTCAGCAATACACCCAGACCTCAGGAACCTGAGAATCCCAATTTGGAAGCAACAGTTACATGACTGGGCTTTGAACAAATGATTGTGATGTACCTGTCAGTTTATAGTTTCCTCCACTTGGAAGGTTTCTCTCCCTCTGTTAAGTGMCACTCATTAATAATGACTGAGGAACATCACTTCTCGAGTGGTGGCATACCTGGTAAAGTGTGTGATTTAAACTCCACTGACATAGTTCTAATCCTGCCCCTACTTGGTAACTTTGGGCAGGTTACTTAATCCCTTTATGCTTACTTTCTTCATTTGTAAAATAGGGATGAAAATAGCACTCATATGGTGGTTGTTATAATTATTATACTGAGTTGGTACAAGGAAAGCAGTAGAGATGGAGCTGGCACAGTAAGCACCCAATAGCTCTTACTAGGATTCTTCTACTTCTACAATGAATAACTGCTCTACCAGTCCTCTGCTTGAGAACCTAACATTATGTAAAACAATCATATTCTTAGAACCCTGTCTACCACACTGCATTATAAGTTCCACAAGAATGCAAGCCAAATCTATTTTCATATCCTTGGTAAATAATGAGCATCCACTATGTGGGCACTAAGTAAATGACTAAACCACTAGGGTTTAGAGGGAACAAAGGTTAGATTCTCTTATCATGATCTATTGTCACTGAATTATCCACTAACCCAGGGGAAACAAATTGTGACTGCTTTTCAGTTGAAAATTACTTACGTTATAATTGCTCCATCAGCCAAATTCCAACAACTGTAGCTTTTAATACTTTTTGTTCAACAAATATTTATTGCATGCCTACTAAGTGCCAAGTGTAGTTCTAGATTTGGGGAGTCAGCCATGTGTGAATCAGACAAGTCTATGCCACTCCGGAGTTAAAAAAGAAGCAAGTCTGATTAGTTCAGAAAATGTAACTATGGCTTTGGCATAATGACAAACTAGAACTATTTTATGCTTTGGTAGGAGAGCACTATGATATCACTTGTTAATTCATAGATTTAGACTGTGAATGAAAAGTTCATGTAGCACTAAAAGGATCTTTAAGGGAATTTAAGTGGAGAAAAACACAAGAAAAACACATTCTTCTCCCTGATTCCAACAGGAATGAGGAGTAGGTGGCAACCCAAGAGACACAGACAAATCACTAATTCTCTTTAGGAGATGCAGACCTCTGCCCTGCAGCTGTGAACTTCCCACAGCTACATGCCACCATGCACCTGGATGGTAGTAGCCCTGAATGCAACGCAAGGGCAGCTCTCAGAGTGAGCCATGAGCTGCATGCATTACCTGTGGGAACTTGACAATGATGTGGTGGGGAATGCTCATCACATTGTGAACATAATCAAAAGTCTCCGTAAGTTTCCTTTTATTTGCAGTTAGCATCTTTGGGATTTTGGTGATCATATGCTGAATTTCATTATGTTTAAAACCAAGTTCAAGACGATAAACCTATAGGAAAATTAATTTGTTATAAGATGTAAATAGAAATAATTATTTTGGTACTACACTAAAGGACACATTGATTATTATCTCAAAATTTAAAATAATGACATTTTAAAATCTGGGGACAGATGTCAATGCCCTCAAGGGATTAGTGCTTACTACTTCTGGGGTAACCAGAATTTCAAACCCGTCTCCTGAAAATGATGGGTGATCATCAAGAAGCAGCAGCATAATTATGAGATGGGATAACAGTGCACAAGGGAGGCCTGGACAGGGTGGCTGCATGGGCCGGGTACAAATAGACCAGCATTAAGATTCCAAAGTGCTTTTGAGCTTTCATTCCCAAAGCACAATCATATACATGTTATTAAAAAAACTACATGTCCAAATTCCAAACAGAAGACAAAACTAAACACTCATACAGGGGTAGGTTCTCCATGTACTTTCACAGTGTCCAATGCTCCCCCACCAATCCATCACTCTTAATATTCCTTACTTTATCCCCCTACCAGATTMTAAGCTCCACAAGCACAGACTACCTCCCTAGCACTGAGAACAAAACACTTTACTTATTATTGGTTCTTTTTAGTTAAACATGACAGTAGAATGCATCTGATATAATTATAMAAGCATGGAATAWATATCTTATTCTAGTTAGGACCATTCTTSTGTATGTACATGATGGTGGGATTCACTATGATGTTTTCATATACGTACACAGGAAAATTATGTCAGATTCTTTCCATTGTCTTTCCTTTTCCTATCCTCCCTCACTTTTCAACATTCCTCATT